GCGCAGGGAACCCGCCTGCCCAGCTGGCCACGAGGCACCTAGCCACGGGGATGGGGATGGTGGGGGTGGGGGAGGTTAGAGCCCTGATGGGGCAGCCCTCATGCCACAGGGTGCACCCTGGTCCGGCACCCAGGCACAGCCCCCTGAGGTCAGAGGACACCCCAGTGCTGAGCAGAACCCCACCAACACCCACCACCCCATGAGTCAGACCTACCCATGATCCCGCTGCCTGGCACAGCTGGGTTTTATGCAGCTGGGATTTCAGTGCACTGCCCATTTATGAAACTCCCCTGGCGGTTTCACAAGCAGTTTCCGCAACCTGACTGCACCGGGTGCGCCACAGGCCATGCGAGCGGAGCCTGTGGTGGGCCAGAGCCCGTGGTGGACCTCCCCTCCCCCCGCCGCTGCCCCCCAGATCTGCAGCCAGCCCAGCCCAGGCCCCCGGTCCTCTGCGACCCTCCCGGGGGCTCTGCCTCCGTCTCAGGACTTCCCACTGTCTTTGGACCAACTGTCACACAGCCGAACGCACAGGCGCACGGGCACGGGGTGTGCCGGGCAGTCCCCACGCTCGACACCTGCGCAGCCACCTGGGCCCTCTGCCAGCGTCGGGAGCATTGCCGCCCGAGTCCCAGCAATAGCCGTGTGTGGAGGCCCTGAGGTCACGGGGCTCCTCCCAGTGGAGGGGCGCAGGAGGCCCCTGGGTCCGGCCAGGCCCCCCGAGCCGTGGCCCACCCTCCGTCCCCGCCCGTTTCCAAGAGGCTAAGAAACCGCCCTTACTGGTTCGATGATGGCGGGCTCTCCCTTTTGACCTTTCTCGCCCCGTGGCCCGTCGATCTGGGGGTGAAAAACACAGACGGAGGGAGTGAGAAGAAAGGGAAGGGGGAGGGGACAGGGACTCCGTGATTCTGCTCACAAGGCAGGGCTGCTCCGGCCGGCCACCCCGAGGGCCCCCCAGGAAGGAGCCCCTCACCCCTTCGAAGATGGTGTCCTGGTTCGCTGGCATGCCCGGCCCGATCTCGGACGGGGAGACCGTGGGGTCGTAGTAGGGGTCGTAGTAGTTCTCCTCCAGGCTCTTGATGGTTTCCTCGGTGAACTCGCCCTCCAGGTCATCCTTCCCTTCCCCGGGAGATGCCGGCTGAGAGCAAGAGGGGCAGCAGGGTCATGCAGAGGACGGGGGATGCCAGGTAACTGCGCAGAGATGTCCCACCCTGCTCAGGTCCAGGGCCCTGGCCCACGGGGCTCAGGGACGGTGGCCTCCCGGGAGCCTGACGTCTAACTTGTTGGGAGAGTTCCTGGTGGTCTCTTGACGTATCTTCTCACTCTCCCTGCAGGGAACCTGTCACCCCACACCCCCTTTCAAGACCCCGGGGCTAGGGCTGTGCCTGGGGAATTCGGTGGCCTCAGGGCTCCACTACGGGCCTCAGGGTCTTGAAATAACATGTGCCTGATCCCACGCCTGCCAACAAAGGGGTTGGGACCCATCAGACCCAGTGTGTCTACTCTTTGACCATCAAGAAATTGGCTGTTTTTAAGCTTTCCCATGTACCATGGGTTGTGCTGGATTCCTCCCTAATCTACAAGCTTGGCAACAACCCCAAGAGGCGGGCACATTGGTGCCATGTTGTAAATGCAAACATGAGATCCCGAGAGGGGATGTCACTTTCCAAGGTCACTGGGGGAGGTTTCAGGCCCGGTTGGCCTGACAGGAAAGCCTGTGTCCTGACCAGAAGTACCCACCTCTCGCCTTGTACAGATCCCTGGCTCGTGCACCTGTCCAGCCTGACCCATCCCAGGCCACAGACAGGGACACGGTCTGTAAGCACAGGCCCTCATCTATCTCCACCTCAACCTGGACACCTGGGGACAGGGCTCACTCTACTCACTTTGCAGATAAGCAAATGACAACACTGAGAGCTGCTCAGTGGGCTGGTGATTCCAAACATGCTCAGCATCCCCGGGGAGCAGGGCCCCCCCAGGACACCCAAGAGAGAGGCAGAGAAAGGAGGAGAACCCGGGGGTCTCGACCTTTGCCTGGCCTTTCTCCCTGACCCAGCCACTGGGAAGAAAAGCAATTACGTTAGAGGTGTTGGAGGTGCCGACCGTGCTGGTGGGAACCTCAGCCCCTGTGCCATGGTCAGGGGGCTGGTCAGGGTCCTCGATGCCCTCGACATAGCTGAGATCCTCGTAAGGGGGTGGCGTGTAGTAGTCCTCGCTGGGCACGTAGTCATAGTCCCCTATGCCAGGGTCCTCCTCTTTCCCAGCCCCCTGGCTGGTGTCAGGCACCTCAGGGGCCACCGTGGGGGGCAGGGGCAGCTCCTGAAACGTGGAAGAGAGAGGCAGGGTTGGGGAAAGGCCGGTGTAATGGGCCCAGGTCTTGGGTTTCCTCTGCCACAAAGCATGGGCCTCAGCCAAGATCCCCCTGGACTCTGGGCGCAAGGGCCACCTCGGTCCCGGGGAGGAGGAAGCCCCGTCTAGGAGGGTGCTGTGGATGGACTGCAACCCGACTCATGCCCTTGAAAAGGGTCAAGTGTATCTCAGAAACTTCTTCAAAGTAAGAGGACATTCCAGATAGAACAGTATAAGCCAGTCTCCCAGCACCCTTTGGGGTGGGGACTGCCCTTTCACCTCTATGTCCCTGATGTCACACGTCACCATGGACAGCCCTCTCCAAACGTGTCCCGTAAGGATGAATCACATACAGTCACTGGTTTCCCTGCCAGCCTCCAACCACAGCCTCCTAGGTGACCCCCACATTCACACTCTCCATAGCTTCCTCCCGTCCCCCCTCTGCCCCCGNCGAATCACATACAGTTATTGGTTTCCCTGCCAGCCTCCAACCACAGCCTCCTAGGTGACCCCACATTCACACTCTCCATAGCTTCCTCCCGTCCCCCCTCTGCCCCCGCCCCCCAAACTCTGGCAGCAGCTGCCCAGACCTCGGCAATCTCCGTGGTCTCTTTAGCAGCTTCCACAGGCTTCTTGGTGGAGGCAGGCTCCTTGCTTGGGTCGTCCGTGTCCTCGTAGTAGGGGTACTCGTAGTAATAAGTCTCGCCTTCCCCCTCTCCTTCTGGGTACTGGAAGCAGACCGGGCATGTGAGGAAGGAGGGCCCCATCCGGAGGCCAGCCTGCTCCCTTCTCCACACGCTGGACATCTCAGCGGGAGGCCTGGACACTAGAAGGCCGAGCCCACCTCCAGCCACGAACTCCTCCAGCAACCTGGGAAGCTGAGCCAGCCCCATGAGAAGTCCAGGGAGGAAACGGGGGGGGAGGGCGCCCAGGTCCCCTTCAAAGAAAGTTGAGTCCTAAGAGGCCCAGTCATTCTGATCATTTAGAACCTGAGGACCAGTCAACCAGCCAAACTCTGGGCTCTGCTGTCACTCAGGAGGGAGGGGCTCCTCAGCGACAGAAGGGAACCCTCGTCCTCAGGACATCTGCATGTCAGGAACTAGGAGGGGCCGGCCAGGAGGCCTCGGCCACAGGAACTCAGCTGGGAGCACCGTCCTCGCCGTCTCGGGCAGGTAAGACATGCCTGCACAGGGTACCCCCAGCTTCTGAGGGCCACCCCTCTTGTCTGTGACAGGTCGTGAAAGAAAGGAGGACAAGAGAGAGATGAACAGGACTGGATGCTACTTAAAAGAGATGGGAGAGAAATCTGAGCAGAGGTGGGACAGAATTCTCAGTGGAAGGGGGAATTACAAAAAAAAAATAAGATGCTGCTGGAATGTGAGGGCAGGGGGAGGCGAAAGACCGACCCCAGACCACAGCGGGTCACAGTGAGGGGAACGAAGCTTAGGACACGCTTCTCAGCCGCTGCCACGGTGGGAGTCAGAGGACCCATCGTTCTACAATGAACGGCCCTCAGTGCCTGGTAGACTCAGCCCATGAGGGCACCTGGGGCATCTCTGCTCACAGACACCCTGCCCAGGCCATCAGCCAGAGTACAAAAGGTACCTTGCCACGGTCATCCACAAACTTGTTTGAAACTGGAGGGGTAACAAATGTCCTTCGTGACTCGGTCCACAATCTTGCCCAGTGGGTTCATTCACAATGGAGGTGCTGTGGCTGCTGTGTCCCCCACCCCGCCTGCCTGGCCCCACGGCCCCCACCATGAACCCAGCCAGTGCTGACTCACGTATTCGTCTGGGTTGGGGTCCTGGGACTGGGGCGTGTCGGGGACGGCAGTGTCACAGTCAGGACTGTAGTGCTCACAGTAATCATAAGCCGCCCGGTGGTCCGAGACGAAGAGCAGCTGCTGGATATCACCCTGGAAAAGAGCAAAAGCCTTTGAGCACGCAGAACGCAGACACCCAGGTGCGCGCCCAGGAGATCANACGCCCAGGAGATTAGCCCGACGCCTGAGAGAAGCCTGTCCTCAGCCAGCCTTCCTCTCTGGAACTGCTGCCTCCAAAAACCACGCAAGCCAGGCTGTTTTGCCCACCACGCCCTCCATTATCTGTTCATTCCCCTAACTACCATGCCCCCCATCCATCCATGCATCACCCATCCATCATCCATCTTCCATCCATCCATCCACCTAACAACCTACTCACCCAGCCATCCACCATCCGCCATCTGTCCATCCACTCACCCATCCATCATCCATCCATCCACCACCCATCCACCATCCATCTTCCATCCACCCACCTAACAACCTACGCATCCAGCCATCCACCATCCGCCACCTGTCCATCCACTCACCCATCCATCACCCATCCACTCATCCACAATCCATCCATCATCTACTCACCACCCACCCACCATCCATCCATCCATCCATACATCCACCATACATCCATCTGTCCATCCATCCATCCATCCATCCACCATCCATCCATCCNCTATCCATACATCTTCCCTACCTCCCACCCTTCCATCCATCCATCCATCCACCACCCATCCACCATCCATCTTCCATCCATCCACCTAACAACCTACGCATCCAGCCATCCACCATCCGCCATCTGTCCATCCACTCACCCATCCATCACCCATCCACTCATCCACAATCCATCCATCATCTACTCACCACCCACCCACCATCCATCCATCCATCCATACATCCACCATACATCCATCTGTCCATCCATCCATCCATCCATCCACCATCCATCCATCCATCCTGTACCAATTACTGAGCATCTACCAAACGCTAGCCACTACATCACACACAGGGGATGCAGTCATGGCCCAGAACCACACTGCCTGGCAGCGCCCACTCTCCCTAACATGTTGGACTTCCATTGTGCCCCATGGACAAGAGCAGGTGCATACCCAGACTGTGTATTCAAGAGGCTTTCACTGATGCCCCCTCAAGCCTCACCACCCCTTTCTAGCTAGGGAGCTCCTGTTCCTGTGCCCCTGCTCTGCTGTGGTCCAGCAAAAGGCATGTTCCACTCCGGAAGGGCAGAGCCAGGAGTACAATGCCATGAGCTTGACCCAGAGGAGTGGTGCCATCTGCACATGTCAGAACCACAGGCCCAAGCAAGAAGCTGTGCCCTCCCTCCCTTTCATTTGGCGAAGGTATGTGAGCCCTTTCCTGTGTCAGGAAGGCAGAGGCAGACACAGGAAGGGGCCAGATGCGGCCTGCCACCCAAAGTCACTAAGCGTGGGTCCCTGGATGGCTCCCGGGGTGTGTGAAGCAAAGTGCCAGTGGTGTGCACAGCTCTGGAGAGGGGATCTGTCACCCTCCCGATTTCCCAAAGGCTCTGTGGGAAACCTGGCCCAGAGATGCAGTGAAGTGGGGGTGACTCAATGGCAGAACTGGGTGACAGTCCTAGAGTCCAGAACAGGCCCATTAACACCTGATCGCTGAGGCATGGCTCCAAATACATGCCCCCCAACTTGGGTTTGAAGCCCCCGAATGATGAGGCAGGAACTCAGAGCTCTGCACGCAGACCCGTGTCCATGCAGATGGCTCCCTAGACGAGACTTCCTCCTCCTGAGGTCAGCCCGCGCGGGGCTCTGCCTCTGGCCACGCACACACGGCCCCTCCTTCTGCCAGCGGCACTGACCGCAGCCCCCGTAGCCTTCTGCCATCCTGCCACTGGTCTCCCCCTCGCGGGGACCGAGGGGTTGCAGACCGGCTGCCGGCTGCTGCCCGGCCCGGGGCCCACACAGCACACGGACATCGCAGCTCAGCACGTCTCCCCGGCACGCCTCACCCACAGGCCCGCTCCGCAAGCTCCCCCTCCACCCCTTCCCTCCTCTCATGCTCCTCTCCCCCTCCGGATGGATGTCTGTCGGAGGCTCCTGGCTCGCGGTTTAACTCTCCAGCAGAAGGGAACATACGACAAGAGCAGTGAATCAAAACCACACGTTTTTATTAAGCAGCATGACTTCTCGTTCAAATTTCATCCAATTCAAATAAAATATTTTCTCCTCTCAACTGGCAGCTTGACATCTGAATATATGTTCTCCACATGCAGTTAGCAGAAGGCAGAGGAGGCCCGGGGCCGTCGGGGGCGGCAGGCAGCCGTGACCGCCAGCACTTGGTGTGCCCCTCGACAGAGCAGCTGCCTGGTGAAGGGCCTGGACGTGTCCCGCACATCTCAGTGTCCCCATAGCCCAGGGCGCCAGCCCAGCACCCGGCGACAAGCAGGCTGGGCCCAGGGCATGAACACCTGTGGACAGGCACAGGCAGGACGTGCTCCCCTTGGACTCACCCCAGGCTCAGGACTCGTGCTGACCCAGCCCTCGGCCACCTGGTTCCCACCTTCCCCGCCACCCATGCCCCAAACTGCAGCAGACTGGACATGTTGTCAGGCGAGGGCTGGCCACAGCGACCCTGCAAGCATGAAGCCCCTTCATTTCCTGCACCCACCCTCCTCTGAAAACGGCGGTACTTGTTGAAAATCACTTTCCCAACAAATAGAGTGGATTTTCACACCAAAAAACATGCCTGTTTGTTTTGTGAACGCATCTCTCAGAGGGCAGGGACCTAGCCACTCCTCACCCCCACTGTGGAGAAGGGGAAACTGAGGCACCGGTGTTCAGGATCCATGACACTCTGGTCAGGACAGACCGGGCCCTTACAGTCTTCACCCAAGCATAACCTTCACCTTACGTTTTAAGCCACAGGCAGCCCCCTGGGAAATGCCCTTCTTCAGGCCCCAGGGAGACCTCAGCAGTTCCTTCTGTTCTTTCTGAAATGTCAAATCAGAGCCAACGAATTTCTGTCTGAAGCAAAGGGGCACGTGCTAAACTGTCCATCCCAGTGGTCCCCCAGCTGGGCGACCCCAGGCAGGACGCCACCTCTGGGAGCCTCAGTCCCCACCCCGCCCTCCTCCACGATCATGGGGACCAGGCAGAGAAAAACACCCTGCCCCAAGCGACGCTACAAACCCAGCACTCTAACTGTTCGAGCTCCCTGGACTTGGAGCTTACTCTTAGGTTGAAGATGCAGAATACCTGTGTGTCCCCTACAGATGTACCTCAGGGTCCTTCTCAACCCAGGTCTCCCAGCAGCCACCACCCCATGACGTGGAGGCAGCACCCCCTTTGGCTGGCCCTAACCTGGTTCATGTTGCCCTTCAATGTAAAATGAATGGTCACAACTTCATGACTGTTCCGAGAGCATTTTCAGGATGTGATGTGAACCCAAGCTCCAAACTGCAGACTCCGAGATTCATCAATGAGCACCCTCTCTTGGTGGGAAATGCTGGGGGCCTGGAAACAAAGCCCAGAGGGCACAGGCAGTCCTGGACTTGGGTGTGTCAGTGTTTTGGGGGATGGGACAGAAGGCTGGAGCCCAGGCCAGGTAGAGATGTTAACCTGTGGCTACAAGGACCACATATAGTGAGGCCCCTGGCCTGCAGCATCTGGACAATGGCTCTGTGAGGCTGGCTGCAGGTCAGAGTTGCTGGTGGGCAGGGCCCTGACCCTTCTGGAGACACTGAGGGCACCCCAGGGTTTCTCTGCTCCAGGTGACCTCTCAGGTAGGGGGCTCTGACCCCCCAGAAACCCGTCAGTAGCCTGGCCTCGATGTTGGAAGGGCCTGTTGCCCGATCTCCAGAGGCAGCCTTACAACCCCCAAACTCACAACCCACTGCCTATTTGCAGGATCTGAGGTTGTTTAGTTTGTGTTTGTGTGAGTGTGTGTGCATGTGCATGTGGGCATGTGTGTCTGTGTGTACGTGTGTGCGTGTGCACTAGTGTGTGTGCATGTTTATGTGTGTGTGCATGTATATGTGTGTACANGCCCGATCTCCAGAGGCAGCCTTACAACCCCCAAACTCACAACCCACTGCCTATTTGCAGGATCTGAGGTTGTTTAGTTTGTGTTTGTGTGAGTGTGTGTGCATGTGCATGTGGGCATGTGTGTCTGTGTGTACGTGTGTGCGTGTGCACTAGTGTGTGTGCATGTTTATGTGTGTGTGCACGTATATGTGTGTACATGTGCGTAATTGCGTGTGCATTTGTGTGCATGTGTGTACGTGTGTGCATGTGTGCACATGCAATGCAGAGGANTGTATATGTGTGTACACGTGCGTAATTGTGTGTGCATGTGTGTACGTGTGTGCATGTGTGCACATGCAATGCAGAGGACTGCTGCATCACTTTCTGCTTTGGGTGACCCACATATGGATGGAAACAGAAAGGGAGCCCCTGTCCTTGAGCACCTGCAGGACAAAGTGAAGGAGCGTTACTGCCTCTGGCCAGCCCTGGATGCTGACCTTAGAGGGTACTGGGGTGACACTAGGGGGCCTGGGACTGGGTCCCTGCCCATAGCAACAGCCCACCAGTCCTAGGAGTGCTGGCACAAACCGATCACTTGTAGCCCCGAGGTGATGGCTTTCTCAGGCGCATAGCCCCATGCAGCCTCAGTGTCTCACATTCCTGCCCACACCATGTCTGCATGAGCCAACTCCTCATACCCTTCTTTGTGCCACACAGACAAGCCCACGTGTCCTCGCAGCCTCTCATCCCATTTCACAGATGCACAAACTGAGGTGCATTGAGGGGACCCTCTCAAAAGGGCAGTGTGGAGGCTCCCGAGTGACCACCTGCGGTCCCCACAGTTCCCACCCCAGAGCTGCCTGGTCCCTGTGAAGTTCAAGTACTATGTCTTGCACATCCGACAACCTTGGGCTCCCAGTTTCCATAAATGACACCATCACTTCATCTCGGCAGCCCTGGTGGGGGTGGGAGTGGGGCAGGCACCAGGCCATCCAGCCTCAGGAACACAGGCTGCACCTGATCCCACCTCGGATCCCCAGGCCACGCCGACTAATCGCTCAGTTTAGCTCTAATGCCAACCCCAGGCCC